CTTACTCGCATAATATATAACTTTAAAAACTTATCATATCTCTGCCCTAAAATAACTCTAATTGTATAATCACTAGCATCACACATTAATTCAAAAGGTTTCTCCCAATCATGTGAAACAATTATAGGAGCAGTGATCAATTTTTCTTTTAAAGTTTCAAAGGCTTTAAGGCATTCTTGGTTAAAATCAAATTTTGTATCTTTTTCCAAAAGTTGGTATAAAGGCTTAGTAATTTTTGAAAAATTTTTAATATATCACAAGTAAAATCCAGCATGTCCTAAAAAGCTCCTAACTCCTCTTACAGTAGTAGGTGGAGGTAAGTTTGATATTACTTGATTTTTTACAGGATCTACTTCTATGCCATTTTTTGAAATTTTATGCCCAAGCACAAGTCCTCTTGCAATCATAAATTGACATTTTTTCCCAGTTCAATACGAGATTAGTCTTTGTACATCATTCAAGAACTTTCTCTAATTGATTTAAACATATTTTAAATGAAGTTCCAAATAAAAAAAGTCATCCATAAAGACTTCAATCTCTTTTTCAATTAAATCACTGAAAATTGACATCATATATCCTTGAAATGTTACTGGTCCATTAGATAATCCAAAGGTTATTCACCAAAAAGTAAAAGTTCCATAAGGACTAGTAAATGTTGTTTTCTCTTGATCCTCTGGAGCAATAGTTATTTAATGATTCACCATACATTGACTTGTCTTGTTGGTATTAATTTTTTATTATCATTTCTCACTACAGTCACTCTTTTATTTCATCATTGGATTTAATTTCCTTTGAGGATCAGCTCTTGGTTCATGTTAATTTTTTAATAAAATTCTATGCATACAAATTGAATGACTAATTTCTTTAATATCAGCTAATGTCCATCAAAATGCTTTCTTATATCTTTCCAAAGTTTCCAACAATTGTAGTTCTTGCATATCCGCTAATTCTGAGGATACTATAACATGTAATGTAGATAAATCTCCTAAAAATGCATACTTCAAATGTGTAGGAATTGTTTTCAGTTCTAGTTCAGGAGGTTCTCAATAGCTTAAATCACATTCTTGTTACTTTCTTTAGGATCTAACATTTCAAATTTTTCCTGAACATACTCCAAATCTTCTTCACTCTCTTCCGTAGACTCATCTTGAATTATATCCTCATCTTGATATTCCACATATTCTTTTTCAAATTCTCCTTCAAATGTCTTTTTAAAATATTCATGGCTTAGATATTCATTAATATCCATTCAGAAGCATTCAATCTAGAAGCATTCAATCTTTTGCTCTCAATCTTTTGCTCTTTTGAAGGGTATATCATTGATTTTACAATATTAAATGAAACATTTTGATCGCTAACTCTCATTGTAAGTTCTCATTTCTGCACATCTATCAAAGTTCTTCCAGTGGCAAGGGATGGTCTTCCTAAAATGATAGGAATTTCTTTATCTTCCTCCATATCTCCTCCATATCTAATACAATAAAGTCCGCGGGAAAGATAAAGTTATCAACTTTTACCAAAACATCTTCTATAACTCCTTTAGGATAGACAATCAAATGATCAGATAACTGAAGAGTTACAGCTGTAGGTGAAATATCTTCTAAACCCAACCTTCTGAAAATTGATAATGACATAAGATTAATATTGGCTCCTAAATCACACAAAGCTTTTCCAAAGCTTTTCCAAAAAATCTTTCCAAAAAATCTTTCGCCAATAGCACAAGGAATTGTAAAACTTCCAGGATCTTTAAGTTTTTCAGAAAGCTTTTTTTGAATTATAGTGTTATACTCTTCACTGAGTGCAGTACTCTTATTATCTATAAACTTCCTTTTTTTATTAAGTATATCTTTCATGAACTTCACACAGCTTGACATCAGCTTGACATTTGTTCCAAACATTTGTTCCAAAGCTTCAACAAATATAATGCTTGTCATTAATTTCCTCAATATTTCTAAAAATTTTGAAAATTGGTTATCTTTATTTTTCTGCTTCAATCTTTCAGAAAATGGCGGTGGTGGTCTTTATACAGTGATTTTCATTGGTTTAATAGGATATTCTGACTTAAAATGAAAATCTTCAGCAAATTTTTCATTTTCTACCTCATCTTTTTAAACTTCAACTTCAACTTCTTTTTGAACTCTATTTTATAATTCTTTTCCACTTCTAAATTGAATAACCTTAATTTGCTCTTTATTTTGATCTTTAGGAGTTACTTCAACATTACTAGGCAACGTTCCTTGAGGTCTATGCTAAATGTGGTAGTAATACATCCCAATTGATTTTCTATGTTTCTAATTCCAGCTCATTGACTTTGTAATTGACTTCCCATCTGCAATATCAATTCTTCCATTGAAAACTTTTTCTCCTTAATCTGCAAATTATTAAAATATGGAGGGTAATAAGGTTTATAAGTTAGATTTCCTTGATTGTTGGAGTTTCTCAAGGGGTTTGTAGTGTTGTTTCCCCAATGCAGATTTGCAGCATTAGAGTAATTGTTGCTCCAATTAAAATTTGGATGATTCTTCCAACCAGAATTATAATAATTGACATAAGGATTATTAGAACGATTGTTTATTGCATTTAGGTCTCATAAGAAGATTGAGATTCTATCAATTGTCCCAATGAGTTTTCCTCAAGCATGACCAAAGAAAAATATGTTGAGATTTTCATACCTATTTTACACTATTTTTGATGATATTACACTTTAAAGAAGGGTATTTTTGATGTTTTGTTGCATG